GCCTCATACCTAATGTCCGGATACCTAATGTCTCCCCCTTTGTTGCTTATTGTTTGCTGGTTTTAAATTATGATTTTAATTAGTGCTGTCTTAACCCCTTTTCTTTTATTTTATGTGTGCATGATCTCTGTTGTGTGTATATAGAAATATGTGTGTTTTCTTATATTGTGTCTTTTATATCTTCTTTTATGTATGTTTACTGTTTACCAGTGTCTTTTGTTCCATTCTTGTGTTTTTATGTGTTTCTGGCTACGTGAAATTTAAGTATGTTTTCTCTTATATGTATATGTACATTTTATTTTGTGCTAAATGTGTTTCTATGTTACTAGTCGGTAAAATAGCTTTAAAGCTCATGTTTTTTGTTAAATGTATGTAGTCCGACTATAAATAAAATTTTACTTACTTACTTAAAATTAATGAACCAGAAGTCTCCGACAAAACTGTAGCTCTACTGGTTTGTACTTGTAACAAAGGAAGATGAAAGGTAGTACTTGGACTTGAAATAATGACCTTAAAAGACCCTTATTGATTTTGAGATCAAAATATTAATGATTCAACACACACACACACACACACACACACACACACACACACACACAAATCTTGGATAGAAGTACACGAAAAGTTCTCAAACCCGACCTCCCTCAAATTAGTGCTTTGCCTTAAATAATTTCATAAGTACAGTATATAAACATTTATATGACTACATCATAATTTTGTTTCCATCAATTATTTACATGTGTAAATTGTCATACGTTGGACATGGACTTACACTCATTAACAAATCGAATTCACTGAGGAATTTAAATAACAGTTTGTCAGCATAACTCCTGCACTAAATTTCCTAAAACTTTGTAGGTATTTCAGACATAATGTGTAGATTTGTATATTATTACCAAGAAATTTGGATTCCATTCTTTTTCTAGAAACTTCAGCCCAATTAAATTTGTAACATTCAAAGATTTGAAAGTCCTTATATGCAAGAAGTTTTGATGTGATGATTTTTTGCAAGTAATACCCCTTTTTGAATTATACTGTGTATTTAAAGTGTAGTAGTGCACCGTGCCATTCATTATGTGTTGCATTGTCAAGTTTTTTTTTTTTTTGGGGGGGGGGGGGGCGTGGAGTATGTGAGCTTGCTCACTTTTTCTTTCATTTCCTGAGTTATGATGAACCATAAGATATGTATACATAATACGGTATTTGTCAAGTATCATTCTTAAATGCAAGTGTGTATGTGGAGAAGAATATACTTTACATATTGTAAATTTAAATGAAAGTTGTTTTTTTTTTACTTATTGAACTTTGTTTTTAATTTATGCAATAGAAATTGCACCCCCAATGCAATTGAAATCCAAGAAATTGCCTCCTAAAATGTTAATTATAATTCTTAAATAGGCCTCTGTTTTTAAACTGAAGTTCCGTCTACCTGATCAATACATAGGGTGTGACCGGTCAACAGACAATCTAGTAATATTTATAAATTATGGATATACATGACTGTAATATAATACTAAGCACCGCATCTTCCTACTCCTCCCAAGCTTCATCTTTAATTTTTATATTTTTGAGGTCTTGTCCCCCCCCCCCCCCGACATCTTCCCTAAGGGGCTGTCATCGGAACGCCCAAACCAAATCTATTCTCGGTCGAATTAGGCCGGCGGGGTGTCTTGATGACTTTTCCTTCCATGATTTGGTATGAAATAGCGTTGCAGACGATTATTGCAGCCCGGAGGACCGGGCTGCTCTATACATATAAGTTTAAGTGTTGGTATATGGGGATTGAGGTGGGAGAAGTTATTCAGAATTAACGGTTTTCTAAACATTAAAAAGATTGTTAATCAGAATGTTCTTTCCCTTTATAAATTACGAGATACACAATATATTTACTTCCATAAAGTGAATCTGTAAAAATATATATGTTTTTCATATTTAATATATAAAGTTGCTTATCATTTACTATCGAAAAAACGACAGGTCCCTTTTTTTAGAACATCGAATTTTACTTATCGCGTAAAAACGTAAAAACGTACTTTACACAGTTCGTGTTTTATATTCTTAAAGTGATAGACATTTTTGAAAATAGGTGATGCATGTGTCTGGTTTCAATTTATATTTTATGCAGCCAACATTTACTTGAGGAATTGATAAAGTTTAAAAGGGTATCGTTTTTGTTCGATTTTCATCCGACTATAGGTTTTCAAAATATTCTCGATTATCGTCTCCATCATTTAGACGCATGCCTTTTTCACACATATCGAAGCGGTTTGATGATCAAGACTCATTTCCATTGTTTACTTTATTTATTTCCCGGGCGACAATTGATGGTTACATCAATGTTTTCTTGTTTACATTTGATACTATAAACGGAAGTGAGAAGTAAGACCGCTTATGTGTCAAGTGATGAGAAAGAAAGTGAACTTAACTGAGAATTGAAAGAGTTCTTATCGAGAAACGCCATTTGAAAAAAAATCTTAGCCGATTTTTTTTTTTCGAGATTTGAAATTGAAATTCAGTTTTTTATCGATACATATGTAAATCAAAGCCTTAAATGATTTAAAATATTAAATGCCGTTAAACTTTTTATTTTATTCAGCAAAAGACCCAGGTATATTTTAAATGATACACATAAAAAAATTAATAAACTATGCTGCAGTGGTTGTTACCAATAGAATAATGTTTTTATTTTTTTTCTCTCCAAAAACAATACACAGGTCTCCTATAGGTTTGGTCTGATTTCAATCAAACCTGATACACAAGCTAAGTTTTCTAAACTAAGGTACATAATTCTGGATATTGTTGTTGCCATAGATTCATTAGAAAATAATACACCTATGTGAAAATCTTTCAAAATCCTACCCCCCCCCCCCCAGTTTTGATATGATTGCAACATAAATTGTATCAAGGACCATACAGAGCACTCACTGTGGGTGTGACCAGCCGGTAGGGGATGCTTACTCTTCCTAGGCACCTGAACCCTCCTCTGAAATTTCCAGGGGTCCGTGTTTTGTACCCTACTTACAGATCTGTATTATTTGTAGTTTGTTTATTTTCTGATCACTGTTCGTTCTCTTCACCATTTCATTTACAGAACATTAGGTCCCGTACGCGTAATACTATAAAAATTAAATGTAAATCTAGAAAAAGCGTTTCAAGTCCAGGGACATCTGACTCTTTCTTTAACATAAGTTAAAACCAGTGAAAGTAGAGTGTCATCAGATGGTAATTTTTTCAACGTGCTTTGGGTATTGTTTAGTTTAATTATATTGATTATATTGACATTAGTTGTCCTTGTTAAATTAAGTATTAAGATCATGTTTGACATGTATTAGTGATTTCATCCCTTCAGTAAAATGTTGCTGTCATGTAATGCAGGTCCTCAAATATCGTGATTTACCTTTATGCATGAATAACTATGAACATTTTTGCCAAATCATCATTGATATCGATGTTCGCTGCAGCTTGATTACCACGAAGTTAAATGTGAATATTTAATGCGAAAATTTTACAAACTACACCATTTCCGTTGGATGATTGTCATGTTTTGGTGAGTAAGAATTCGATTTTCCAAAAGTGTTGAATTTGAAAAAATCAAAAGCACGCTGATAAAGTTGTAAAAAAGCAAATCTTTCAAAAAGACGTATTTTGTTGAATCGTTATTAAAATACCTTTGTATGGTCTAAATTATTAGTCAAAGTTTCCATCAATTCTATGGTGAAAGTTGTGTAATGCTTTGATTTATAACGAATGCATCTTAAAAAGTTGTTTTGTTACATATAATTATTCGTATCAAATACATTAAAGGTATGTCACATAACATCGAATCCATGTACTAATTCGTCTCCTTAATTTTTTTTATAATGTAAGTGATGGAACCTTTATTATGTAAATAAGTTGTTGACAAGTTTTTAACTAAATGCAGGAAAACAGAGTACATGTAAATGTACAGTTAGAATTCAGAAAGGAAATGCAGGAAAACAGAGTGCATTTGCATGTACAATTAGAGTTCACAAAGAAAAAAATCAACAGAAATAATAACCAAATTTAAAAATAACACTATATGAATATGCAGAAATCAAATGCTAGATTTAAAACAATCCAACAGATAATGGTCGAATTGACAGAAAATAACACTATAGAATGTTAGCCAACAGAAAAGTGATGCTGTAAAATAATATACAAAAGGAAAATGCTTTATCCCCCCCCCCCCCCAGCATTAAATAAAGACTAAGACAGAACTGTGTCTATTATGTTTAAGTTGGTACGATCTATTTCTGAGCTGATTCAAAAATCGCAGTATATAATTTACCAGTGAATCGCCAAATAAAACTGATGCTGGTGTGATCTGAAATATTTCCACTATCAAATAAGACTATCGGTATGGAAGAATGTAAATCTAATTCTGAGGTTTTTAAAATATAGCATGTTAACTAACGCATTTATATTATTTATATTTTAAAGAGTAAATGAATATGCTTATGTTCACTGAACTCAATTTTTCTTTAAGTAAACCCTTGATTTAAGACTTGAGTAACGAGATCATCACGGTTTGTAAATGCATCGCATTCTTTTAAATTTGTCGAACCGTACTTCCAAACCTATATTAATATTTATTGCAGGAAATAAAAAAATTGCAAATACATTTACCGTATTTAATGTTTTATTATAAACTATCGATGTGCTTAATGGACGGAAAGTGTCATTCATTTGAGGATACTGGAACTTCAATACCACATCTTATGGCGTTGTTTTGTTCGATTCTTATATGCGCAAGTAAATTATGTGATTCTTGTCTTCCAATCAAAATCTATATTGTGCTAAGCGATATAAATCGTTATAATAATGAATTGATGACATCATTGTAACTACTGATACCTTGTAACTGACACAATGTACAACAATAATGTTTTTAATTATTATTGATGAAGGAACTTTGACTGTATTGGGGAATTGACACATAATGATCTGTACTACGAGAAAACATTGCTTTTGTATTTCAGAGCAGCTAGAGAGAAGATGCTAGACTTGTGCTGCATTGTGTTACTATTATTTTTTCAGAATGGCGATTTACAACCTTTGAATAATACAAAAAGGTATATTTAATTCAAATATATTTATAATGAATTCGAAACATTTTATTATGAAATTGTGAGATATTGGTTCAACTGTACGATTACAGTTTTAATACGTGATAAATTTTGTAGCACGACGTTAGGCGGAAAAGAGTAAGTTACTATTATTTATTTCATGTTTATTTTTTAACTTGAGTAACTTTTCTACGTTAATGGGTATTTCACTGTTATGTTTTTTTTAAATAATGCACCATATTTTTGTGCTTTTCAGACAGAAAATCATAGATGATTTATTGAGCCACTATGATAAAAGAGTTTCTCCCACAGATGCTGTAGGTGAGGATTTTTTCTGTGCAAAATTTGGACTATACATTAAAATTCTTCATATGTTAAGGCTGGATTCTTGAGTTCAATTCCTCCCAAATTTTCAGGCGAAGGTCCAGTTCTAGATACTGTACAGTTGTACATATTAAGCTTGGACTCCTCGGGTGATTCATCAATGGTATGTATGAAACATTGTGATTAAATCTAATGGTAAAAAAATAGCACTAGTTTCGCAAAAACAATTTGCCCATAGTTCCACATTAAGATATATCGACGACGTGTTATCAATTAACATTAGCTATTTCCATTCATATGTCGACACGATATATCCCAGTGAGCTTGAAATAAAAGATACCACAGAGTCTGACACATCTGTTTCATATTTGGATATTTTGCTAGAAAAAGTTAAATTAATCTAACAACCAAGCTTTACGATAAACGTAATGACTAATTTTTCAATCGTCAACTTCCCTTACTTATGCAGCAATATACACTTATCACCTGCGTATGGAGTTCATATCTCTCAATTGATTCGATACGCAAGAACATGCTCTATATGAACAATTTCTTAATCGAGATACTTTATTGACGAACAAGTTGATGGAACAAGAATATCAACAGTCTCGTTTAAAGTCATTATTTTGTAAGTTCTATGGTCAATACAATGACCTTGTCAGCAAGTACAATCTATCATTGGGTCAAATGCTGACTGACCTTTTTCATACTAGTTGTTGGACCATTATTTACACACTGAATTGTCGACGGATTTTCTGTTATTTCCCCGATCATGATAAGGGGCACACGTCTGCTGGGGATGCTCACTCCTCCATGGCACCTGATCCCATCTCTGATGTTTGAGAGGTCCGTGTTTCCTCTGCTCCTGATTTGTATTGTTTGAATGGACTTCTGAGCTTGATTATGGTTTCTTATCCATATCTTTCATTTGGAAAAGTAACTCTGATCGTCTATTAAAGTCTTTCTTGTATGTCTTTCTAGAGTTAATAAATATGTCTGATCGGGTCACCATGAAAAAAAAACAAACAAACTGCATGGTTCTAAAATTGAAAGTTCTTTAATATTTGTTTAAAAAATTATTTATTGCTCTCTTTTTGAACTTCAAATACTGAATTCTTGTTCTGAATCTTGTGATGATATTATTATTGATGGTTTCAAGAGAGAAGGCAAAAAACCACATTCGTGAATTGTTTAAATAGTAACTTTGAAAAACAATTATGTATAACTTAAAGAGGAAAATAAAATCGATTGATGGTCATATTATAAAGCAGAAGGACAGTCCCCACATTCATTCGCATCTTCTTGTGCCTTTCCGGCAAGCTCGGAAAACACCTCGAATGTATTAACATCACCGGACGTTAAAATTTTATACTAAATGGAATCGCTTCTTATTTATTGAAGAGTTGGATACACAGTATTAATTGTCCCATTTGTAGTATACATGTATTTTAGGTAACATCTTTACATTCAACAAAAGTCAGCATCATACTCTGCAGATAAGAGGTCCTCTTACAATTATTTCAATGTTTAAGAGGGTTGTTATGGACGTCTACGTAACACATTCGAGGTTGTTTTTCCACTTGCCGGAAAGACCCGAGAAGTTGCGATTATGGCCACCCTGGACATCTTTACCTCGACTTTAAGGTCACCTGAGTCATTAAGGTGACCTATTGCTATGTTTTTGTCCGGTGTCGTGCTTTAACATTTGAACATTTTCAGCTTCTAACTAGAACTGCTGCACAGATTCCAATTGGCACATAGCATATATGGTTTAAGGGGAACAATAGTTCTGAATTTAATTGTCCCTCCCCCACTCACCTTCTGAATTTAATTGTCCCTGCCCCACTCACTTCACCGGGTGAGGAGGGGGGCTGAGTGGCAACACAATCAAAATTAATGCAATGTTTAAAATGTTCTTCTTTATGCCTGGCCATGAGGTGTTATAACAGTACTTCACTTGAGGTTCACGTCAAATCATGGCTGACGCAAAATAATTCCTGAATCTTCCCTTCCGATTCAGGCATTTTAACATGAGACTGGAGCTGAATTTTTTTATGAGATGGAAAACAATATGTAAACTTCCTGTATTGACTAGATTCATTACAATTTAGGGCGTGCTGATTTTTCTATATACTGTATTTGAGTGGGGAGTGATTAGGTCCTGGACTTGATTTTCAAGCACCTGCTCGACTTCGACCGAAACAAACTTGCGTACCTTGCTGGATGGCTATGTATTTTTTGGTACTAAAATCTTTATAAAGAATTGTTTTACAAGATCTGAAAAGGAAACTTCTCAAAAGTTTGTTTTCAATTAATACCACCTATTCAAAGTTGAGCATTTTTGGTAAGAATATATAGCAAAATTTAATACTGTTGTGCAACCATCAGGCAGTCAAAATGTTGGTATGATTGTAATAATCATTGTGCACTCTATCAAAGAAAGGTAGCAAAGGACTCAAAACTATGGCAACAATAATAAATAAAATAATGATTCTTTGTTAAGTCTCAGTTTTAGTCAAATTTAATTGGATAAAAACAGTATGGGGAGAAGCGTTTTAAAGGGAATTCACATAGATGTTTGTTTTTGTAACCATGGCAACACTGTTTATCAAAATAAAAAGAAAAGAATAATGTATCTAAGTGTAGATTACTTGTGAACCAAGTTGTATTGAAATCATACTTAAACTGTAGAAGAGTTGTGTTTTGAAAGATTTTCAGAGATTTGTTCGTCAAAATCAAAAACCGATTCAAAGAATTACGTATCATAGTGTAATGTACTTCTGTACCAAGTTATATTGAAATCGGACGAAAACTGAAGGAGTAGTAGCGACTTTAAAAAAAAAATAAAAATAAAAAAAAAACATAATTCACTACAGATATTAAGTTTATCATTGTTCGTGGGGGACCAATATTCGTTTATTATTGTTATATAATTACCTACGAATTCACAGCCCATCGTATCACTTTAATGAATCTTCCAATATATGAGCTACCCATAAAATAAAAACTTGATTGCCGCGAACATTAAACCCCCTAGAAATGTATAGCATCTGTGATCCGGTTCTGACTTTCAAGTATAAAATGAATGTTTTGTTTTTCATATCTCCTGATCTTTACTATTGATGTGGTCTGTTTTAACCTTGTGTATAATGTATAACCAAAATTTAAAAGCATTGTCTTAGAATATTGATTGCGAGTATATTAATTTTGTACTGATCGACAGATGTGCGACTCAATCCACATCGATGTTTCAGTGAAACATAATAAACTACGTTTTATTTAACAGAAGAACAGTCAATAGACATGTTTGAAAAGGGATCAATTTCCCAATTAGTTTCATACGAACCAAGAACTTTTGACTTTAAATATATATATATCTGTTCCATTCAGTACATCCAACAAAACGAAATAACGGATAAATCTGTACTTGAAATCCGGGAATATTTATCCGATACAAACTTCGACACCTTCATATCTCGAGTACTTTGTTCATAATTTCATTTCCTCTTTGAATCGGTTTGTTTCGGGGAAATAAAGAGGAAGAAATTAGTCCCTAAAAAAGCATCCATAAAATGAATCACTTTGTCAAAGAAATAAAATTTATTCAGAGGAAAATTGTTGGAGCAACGGGACAGGGGCCTATAGGAACTGACTTCCATTTGTGTCTGTATAACCTCATCTCAATTTCCGGATTTCTCTTTTAAGTCGGTGCTTGTGTCAAATAATTATGTTACCAAAAAGAGCACGAAAATGAATAATTTCATCATGTTTCTGGTCTGAGATTAAACAATAAATTTATGACATGAAAAAATATGCAGAACTGAAATACGCAGGAAGGCGATCCAAGGGACAACCCGAACTAGCTCTGAAAAAGATAAGGCAAAAGGCATGAAAGAGCCAAATAAATCTCCTCAGCTTTCAGCGAAAGCGGGAGACGAAAAAAATGTTCTAATTGTAACAGAGAGTCGTAACAGATGTTCCCATAACGCTCCCCATCTCCCTTTTTGGGCCTCATTCTCTATAAACTTCATTAAATTAAGCAAAATCTTTGTATTATAGACTTTTATAACTGATGTTTCAATGGATAACTGATTTTGTGGGGATAATAATGCACATATAGCAAAATAAGCATGAGCCAACCAGATTCAATTACAAGTGCTTGTGCATGATTTCGAAAATTATATACATCATTTTATAGTATGCCATAATAAAGAGGTATATTTTAGATTTCAAACAATTTCTCTGAAAACGGAGAAAGTTACAGCAATATGAATATTAACCATTCAGAATTCAGCACAGGTGCATACACTGTATGCACCTGTGCTGAATTCTGATTGGTTAATATATTACATGTCTTAGTATTCATTTCTGATAATTCTTGTATTATTTACATATACTACGAATTTCGTACTCTTTCGTTAAAAACCAAGAAAGTTATATATAATAACAATTATATCTTATTCAAATATATATTACTATAGTGCCTTATAATATATACCAATGTCTTTAGTTTTAAAGAATTTGAAAGAATAGTAAGAGAGATAAAGAATTAGCCAATCGGAATTTAGCACACTCGCAAGCATGGCCTTGCATTCAGTTTTGATAGTATCTTAATATAAGAACCATTATACGTATCTGTACTCAAATGTCATCATGTTTTGTTAAAACTTAGGAAAAACTAAGGTTGTTATAGCCATTTAAAGTTTCAGCCAATCAAATTGCAGCACACGTGCACGCGTGTATTTTAAGAAGATCCATATACATGTACAACATATTGTACAACCTCAACTTATATTCTAAATTTCAAAGTATTTTGTCCAAAAAAACAAGAAAGAAATTGAGAATGTTTGTTTCTGCCAATCATAATGAAGCGCAGGTGCATGCGCAGCAGTTCATGTTAATCTGCCCATGCCATCTTGTCTTCACTTCTAATTTATCTATTTCGTTGAGTTTTAAAGTATATCATCAAAAAATAAAAAATGTACCTATATATGAAGTATATCAGTCATTTTACTCGTCTTGAACGCAGGTACGTGCATGCAAATGCGCGCAAAATGACCTTCGTTCTGCAAATCTATACAAAAATGCTTATTAATCCTAAAAGGTTTTACTCAATCGGATGAATAGTTTCTGGAATCACTCGCGGACATTAAAGTTCCCATA